GGATGAGAGGAGAGGGAGGAGAGGAGGGCGCGAGAGGAGAGGGATGAGAGGAGGGCGACGAGAGGAGAGGGATGAGAGGAGGGCGACGAGAGGAGAGGGATGAGAGGAGAGGGAGGAGAGGAGAGGGATGAGAGGAGGGCGACGAGAGGAGAGGGATGAGAGGAGGGCGACGAGAGGAGAGGGATGAGAGGAGAGGGAGGAGAGGAGAGGGATGAGAGGAGGGCGACGAGAGGAGAGGGAGGGATGAGAGGGGAGGGATGAGAGGGAGGGATGAGAGTGAGGGCGACGAGAGGAGGAGAGGAGAGGGACGAGAGGAGAGGGATGAGAGGAGAGGGAGGAGAGGAGAGGGATGAGAAGAGAGGGATGAAAGGGGGGGGATGCGAGGAGAGGGATGAGACCTCTGATCATACCGAGGCGAAGGTGACCATGGACCAATAGATGGCCGCCACGTAGGCGACAAGTGGCGGCGCCGTTTCCAGCGGCTGCGCCTCCCCGTTGTCGTCCCAGAAGAAGTTGGCGAGCCACGATTGGCCGTCTGGCTCGAGCCGGCCAATCAGAGCGAAGACGCACGCGCCCACGTGCAGAAGATGCATATTTGCAGGATAAGAATGGTGAGCTCCATCCATGTGGACTGCAAGAAGGAGGCCCTGAGCTGGTCCGTGGCGTTCAGCAGGCGGCGCATGCGGAAGAGCTTCAGTGTGCGGAACACCTGGGGGGAGGGAAGGGGAGGCGGGGGGGGGCATGGGCGTGGGGCACGGTTGGGCACAGTTGGGCACGGTTGGGCACGGTTGGGCAACATGGGGCAAGGGGGGGCAGGAAGGACGTTCTGAGCTGGTCTTTGGCGTTGAGCAGGCAGCGCATGCGGAAGAGCTTGAGTGTGCGGAACACCTGCATGGGGCAAGAGGGGGGAGCATTGGGCAGCACAGGGCAGCATGGAGCATGAGGGGTGGCAGCACGGGGCAGCATGGGACAAGGGTGGGCAGCACGGGGCAGCATGGGACAAGGTGGGCAGCACGGGGCAGCATGGGACAAGGGTGGGCAGCACGGGGCAGCATGGGACAAGGGTGGGCAGCACGGGGCAGCACGGGACAAGGGTGGGCAGCACGGGGCAGCACGGGACAAGGGTGGGCAGCACGGGGCAGCACGGGACAAGGGTGGGCAGCACGGGGCAGCATGGGACAAGGGTGGGCAGCACGGGGGCAGCATGGGACAAGGGTGGGCAGCACGGGGCAGCAGCATGGGACAAGGGTGGGCAGCACGGGCAGCATGGGACAAGGGTGGGCAGCACGGGGCCAGCATGGGACAAGGGTGGGCAGCACGGGGCAGCATGGGACAAGGGTGGGCAGCACGGGGCAGCATGGGACAAGGGTGGGCAGCAGACGGGGCAGCATGGGACAAGGTGGGCAGCACGGGGCAGCACGGGACAAGGGTGGGCAGCACGGGGCAGCATGGGACAAGGGTGGGCAGCACGGGGCAGCATGGGACAAGGGTGGGCAGCACGGGGCAGCATGGGACAAGGGTGGGCAGCACGGGGCAGCATGGGACAAGGGTGGGCAGCACGGGGCAGCATGGGACAAGGGTGGGCAGCACGGGCAGCACGGGACAAGGGTGGGCAGCACGGGGCAGCATGGGACAAGGGTGGGCAGCACGGGGCAGCATGGGACAAGGGTGGGCAGCACGGGGCAGCATGGACAAGGGTGGGCAGCACGGGGCAGCATGGGACAAGGGTGGGCAGCACGGGGCAGCACGGGACAAGGGTGGGCAGCACGGGGCAGCATGGGACAAGGGTGGGCAGCACGGGGCAGCACGGGACAAGGGTGGGCAGCACACGGAGCAGCATGGGACAAGGGTGGGCAGCACGGGGGCAGCATGGGACAAGGGTGGGCAGCACGGGGCAGCATGGGACAAGGGTGGCAGCACGGGGCAGCATGGGACAAGGGTGGGCAGCACGGGGCAGCATGGGACAAGGGTGGGCAGCACGGGGCAGCATGGACAAGGGTGGGCAGCACGGGGCAGCATGGGACAAGGGTGGGCAGCACGGGGCAGCATGGGACAAGGGTGGGCAGCACGGGGCAGCACGGGACAAGGGTGGGCAGCACGGGGCAGCATGGGACAAGGGGGGCAGCACGGGGCAGCATGGGACAAGGGTGGGCAGCACGGGGCAGCATGGGACAAGGGTGGGCAGCACGGGGCAGCATGGGACAAGGGTGGGCAGCACGGGGCAGCATGGACAAGGTGGGCAGCACGGGGCAGCACGGGACAAGGGTGGGCAGCACGGGGCAGCATGGGACAAGGGTGGGCAGCACGGGGCAGCATGGGACAAGGGTGGGCAGCACGGGGCAGCATGGGACACGGGTGGGCAGCACGGGGCAGCATGGGACAAGGGTGGGCAGCACGGGGCAGCATGGGACAAGGGTGGGCAGCACGGGGGCAGCATGGGACAAGGGTGGGCAGCACGGGGCAGCATGGGACAAGGGTGGGCAGCACGGGGCAGCACGGGCAAGGGTGGGCAGCACGGGGGCAGCATGGGACAAGGGTGGGCAGCACGGGGCAGCATGGGACAAGGGGGGCAGCACGGGGGCAGCATGGACAAGGGTGGGCAGCACGGGGCAGCATGGGACAAGGGTGGGCAGCACGGGGCAGCATGGGACAAGGGTGGGCAGCACGGGGCAGCATGGGACAAGGGTGGGCAGCACACGGGCAGCATGGGACAAGGGTGGGCAGCACGGGGCAGCATGGGACAAGGGTGGGCAGCACGGGGCAGCATGGGACAAGGGTGGGCAGCACGGGGCAGCGGGGGGGGGTGGGCAGCATGGACAAGGGTGGGCAGCAGGGGGGCAGCACGGGGCAGCATGGGACAAGGGTGGGCAGCACGGGGCAGCACGGGACAGGGGTGGGCAGCACGGGGCAGCATGGGACAAGGGTGGGGGCAGCACGGGGCAGCATGGGACAAGGGTGGGGCAGCAAGGGCGGGGCAGCACGGGGACAAGGGTGGGCACACGGGCCAGCAGGGTGGCAGCATGGGACAAGGGTGGGCAGCATGAGCACGAGCTGGTCTGTGGCATTGAGCAGCGGCGCATGCGGAAGCAGCGAAGAGCTGAGTTGAGTGTGCGGGTGAGGGAGGGGAGGGCCGGGTATGGTAGGGCAGAGTGGTGTGGTGTGGTGGTGAGGAAGATGGTGAGGTGGTGCATCGCACAGGCACGAGAGAGCACCCCCAGCAGCACCCCCAGCAGCACCCCCAGCAGCACCCCAGCAGCACTCACGGTGGAGATCCAGAAGCCGGAGGAGGAGGTAGTGGTGAGGGAGATGATGAGAAGATGGCTTTGAGCACAGGGCTTCGTAGCACCCCGAGCAACCCCAGCACCCCCAGCACCCACAGGGCCACAACACAACACCTGTAGCAGTACCCGAGAACCCCCAGCAACCCCAGCACCCCCAGCACCCCCAGCAACCCCAGCAGGACTCACGGTGGAGATCCAGAAGTGCGGAGGAGGAGGTGGTGGTGAGGGAGATGATGAGATCCATGGGGAGGGAGGAGAGCAGGTCGAGCAGGAACCAGGTGCGCAGGTAGTGCCACACTATGCGCCGCTGGTGGGGGTGGTATGGGGGAGATGGGGCAGGAAGAGAGGACGATCTCAGTTTTTGAGTCGACTCAAAAATCGACTCATCACTCAGGGAAGAGTGGACGAACGCACACTCTTCCCACACACTCTTCCCACACACTCTCTTCCCACACACTCTTCCCACACACTCTTCCCACACACTCTTCCCACACACTCTTCCCACACACTCTTCTCACCCCTTCCACTTCCACCTCCCCCACCCCTCCCACTCACCTCCAGCTCACCTGCTCCAGGAATTTCGCTGCGGCTGTAGGGTCGTCGTAATGCCATTCTCTGTGCAGCCACGATGCTTGACTCTTCTCTTCCCCCTCAGACTCATTTCACCCTACCCCACCCCACCCCACCCCACTCCACCCCGACCCAAACCACCCGCTCACCTCACCTCCAGCTCACCTGCGCCAGGAAATCTTGCTGCGGCTGCAGGATCGTCGTCATGCCATCGCTGGTGCGGATATGGCGCTCCCCGCTTCCACCTCTTCCCACAAACCCCTTGTATGAACAAGTGTTTTGAGACGTCTAAAAACACTTCTTCATACGCGTCGCTTCCACCTCTTCCACAAACCCCTTGTATGAACAAGTGTTTTGAGACGTCTAAAAACACTTCTTCATACGCGTCGCTTCCACCTCTTCCCACACACCCCTTGTATGAACAAGTGTTTTGAGACGTCTAAAAACACTTCTTCATACGCGTCGCTTCCACCTCTTCCCACAAACCCCTTGTATGAACAAGTGTTTTGAGACGTCTAAAAACACTTCTTCATACGCGTCGCTTCCACCTCTTCCCACACACCCCTTGTATGAACAAGTGTTTTGAGACGTCTAAAAACACTTCTTCATACGCGTCGCTTCCACCTCTTCCCACAAACCCCTTGTATGAACAAGTGTTTTGAGACGTCTAAAAACACTTCTTCATACGCGTCGCTTCCACCTCTTCCCACACACCCCTTGTATGAACAAGTGTTTTGAGACGTCTAAAAACACTTCTTCATACGCGTCGCTTCCACCTCTTCCCACAAACCCCTTTAATGAACAAGTGTTTTGAGACGTCTAAAAACACTTCTTCATACGCGTCACTTCCACCTCTTCCCACACACCCCTTCCACCCAATCCATATGTGCTGTGCGCACCTCCCCCACCTCCTCCACCTCCCCCACCTCCTCCACCTCCCCCACCTCCCCCACCTCCCCCACCTTCCCCCACCTTCCCCACCTCCCCCGCCTCCCCCACCTTCCCCCACCTCCCTCCACGCAGCGTGTGTATCCCCCCCTCGCCTCTCACCTGCTCCAGGACAATCTGCTGCGGCTGCAGGATTTTCCACCCACACACTCATTTCAACCATTCCGCCTACCCTGCGGCTGCGGCCTACCCTGCTCACCACTCCGCACCCCCTCCCAAGCAACGCACCTGCTCCAGGACAATCTGCTGCGGCTGCAATATCTTGATGCCGTCGCTTGTGCGAACATGCCGCTCCCTGGTCACATACCTGTTGTGGGGATTCAGTGATTCATGGAAAAAAGGAAGCAAGCAGCAGAGAGAGGTGATTCTTTGTCGAGAACTTACGAGTGGAGATAGAGCAGGAATGAGGTGGCGGTGGTGCAGTGGCGCTGGAATGCAGCCAGCTAATAACCTGAAGAGAGACAGAGCAAGCCTCAGCCGGTCTTGAATCCCAGAAAGATGTCGATGAGGTAGATGGCGGAGAGGGTGGAGTGGAGGAGTTGACTTTTGAGTGGAGGAGGAGTCAACTCAAAAGTCAGGAGTGGAGGAGTTGACTTTGAGTGGAGGAGGAGTCAACTCAAAAGTCAGGAGTGGAGGAGTTGACTTTTGAGTGGAGGAGGAGTCAACTCAAAAGTCAGGAGTGGAGGAGTTGACTTTTGAGTGGAGGGGAGTCAACTCAAAAGTCAGGAGTGGAGGAGGGGGCAGTGGTGTTTGCGGACAGTGAGGGTGAGGTGAGCTGGTGATCCATGCAAGATACGAAGAAAGAAAGAGAGAGGCTTACCCGGTCTTTAAGTTCAGAAAGACGCCGATAAGGTAGATGGCGGAGAGGGTGGAGTGGAGTGGAGTGGAGTGGAGGGGGCAGTGGGCAATGGTGCTTGAGAGGGCCTCACCCGGTCTTAAAGCCCAGAAAGACGTCGATGAGGTAGATGGCGGAGAGGGTGGAGTCGACAATAAGCCACGCGCCTGTGGAGCGCAGGTCAAAGGCAATCTGGAAGAGAATCTCCCACTGGCGGGGCGAGACGCACAAGAGAGGTTGAGAGAGAGAGAGAGAGGTTCGGTGAGTGAGGGGACATATGGAACAGAGTGCGGGAGGGGGTGGCTTGTAGGCGGCATGCGACAGTGGACTGTGGAGCGCAGGTCGAAGACAATCTGGAAGAGAATCTCCCACTGGCGGGGCGGGGCGGGAGGGTGCAGTGGGAGGGACACGTGGGAGGGGGTTTGAGAGAGGTCTGTATGGGAGAGGGTGGAGTCGACAATGAGGCACACACCCATGGTGGAGGGACGCACAAGAGAGGCACGCACAAGAGAGGCACGCACAAGAGAGGGACGCACAAGAGAGGGTGTGCGAAAGGATGTGGGAGAGAGACGGTGTGGGAGAGGGTGTGAGAGAGAGAGTGCGGGAGAGGGTGTGGTGGAGTCTCCTCCCACCTCACACGTCCCAACCACTCCCCCCTCCCAAGCTCACCATGTTGTAGAGAATGCAGGCGTCCACTAGCACATTGATATCGCGGCGGAACCTTGAGTAGGGGTGGATGATGGGGATGCGCATTTGCCTCATCAACCCCAGCACCCACCGATACACCATGTAGCACACCCCCTCGCCCTTCCCCCCTCCACCCACCTCCCTCCGCCCTTCCCATCCCTCCAGAACCCACCATGTTATAGAGGATACAGGCGCCCACAAGCACGTTGATATCACGGCGGAAGCGTGAGTAGGGGTGGATGATGGGGATGCGCATTCGCCTCATCACCGCCAGCACCCATCGGTACAGCACATAGCACATCCCCTCGCCCTTCCGAGGCGGGGTTGACGGCACCTGCCGAACCTGCCTCTCAGGTACGGGCTGGTTCAGGTACGTGGCCCAAGCCGGATTCGACCAGCACCCGCCTTCCCTCTCTCCATCTTCCGCTCCCCCTCCTCCCCCCCTCCTCTCCCTCCTCTCCCTCCTCTCCCTCCTCTCCCTCCTCTCCCTCCTCTCCCTTCCCCCGCCCCTCGCAATCCGCGTCCCCTTCTCCTCCCCAACACCCTGCTCCCCGCGCTCCTCCCTCCGCCCTCCTCCCCGGTTCCCCCTCTCCCCCCAATTCCCCCTCTTCCCCCCCCCTCTCCGATTCCTTCTCTCTCCTCCTCCTGCTCGCTTGGGGGTGAGTCAGGCAAATCCTGGCGCCATGAATTTCGGAGGAAGCTAGCAACATGCCTGAAGCTCCTGCTGCTCGCGCTGACTATACCGCCCCAGCCCTCTCCTGCTCCTCCCGGAGTGTCCCTGTCTGGTGAGTCAGGACCCCACTTCACTCGCAGCCGTGTTTTTGCCTTGCCCTGCTCTCCCGGGGTGTCCCTGTCGGGCGAGTCAGGACCCCACCTCACACGCAGCCTTGATTTTGGCTTGAAAGAACGTTGACGTTTTCCGTTAACGTCAGTCTCGTCGTCTGGTTGGCCGTCAGGCCCGATTTCGCCTCCGTGTTCGTCGTCTGATCGCCCATCCGGTATGATTTCGCCACCCTCACCATGCGATATGCTTTCCGCCGCTCGGACTAGTCTAGACGACGCGCTCCTGTCGCTCGCCGCGTCGCCTGCGACACTCCGTCGCCCAGACGACTCTTCGGATCGCCCAGACGCAACTCCCACTAGCTCCGCCTCTCCGTCGAGTGTCTCAAAAACACCTTGCCCGGACGACGATCTCGGTCGCACAGGCGACGCTTCCAGCCGCCCAAACGACGATTCCAGTCGCCCAGGCGACGCTTCCAGTCGCCCGGACGACAATTCCCGTCGCACAGCAGGGCCGGAACGCGCCGACTGCAGACTGCGGCTACTACTGCCGACAGAGCGAAGATTCAGGGAGTCTAGACCGGGGCTGCGAAGACCTGCAGAGTGCTGCGCCGCTATTGTCGCCGGAGAGCGCGGAATCGGGTCGAGCGCCGCGGCAGATCGTGACCGTCCGTGCTGCTGACGGTGGCGATGGCGCCTGCTGCCGGCCGATGCGCCGCCCGAAGCGGCGAAGCTGCGAGAACTGAGAGAGGTGAGGGAGGAATCAGGCGCGCGGAAGGAGTCAGCTGCGCGGAATGAGTCAGGCGCGCGGAAAGAGTCGCGCGCGCGGAGGGAATCAGGCGCGCGAAAGGAATCAGGCGCGCAAAAGGAATCAGGCGCGCGAAAGGAGTCTGGCGAGCGGAAAGGGTTAGGCGCGGGGGAAGCGTCAGGCGTGCGGAAAGGGTTAGGCGCGGGGGAAGCGTCAGGCGTGCGGGAAGGGTTAGGCGCGTGAGAGGAGTCAGGCGTATGAGAGGGGTCAGGCGCGTGGGAGGGGTTGGAGCGCATTTCGCGGGAGATGAGAGGCTGCAGGCAGGGAATGCAAGTAACGCCATGGCCGTTGCCGCAGCCATGAAGCTCGTCGAGCTCCGCGTCGCTGCGAAAAGACACTCTCTCGCGATCGCTCGAGTCGCCACTGCTTGTCGCACGGCCGCTGTGCAACGGATTAGGATTTCGTGAAGCTGCTCGGCCAGTTGCGTCCCCTCTGGCTCTCGACTCCCTCTCTCTCTTTTCTTCATCTCTCGTCTCTCTGTTTTCACGTGAGCTTCTTCGAGCTGGTTGCGAGGGTAGGTCATCAGTGGTAAGCGACCGTGAGAGCTTCGACAGACCCCCCACACCGACCATGACTTTTGAGGCGACTTAAACGTCAGCGCGAGGCTCTAGGAGCGGACTGCGAGGGTCCGTCATCTGTGCGAAGTGTCCGTGACAGCTTCGGAAACCAGCCACCCTGACCATGTGGATGGTGGAGTTGGTAAAGTAGCGAGAACAATGGCGTAGGGCTGACAGAGGAAACTCGTTAAAGCATCAGTGATTGTTGCACACTCCCGTCGGCTCGGCCACGTGCTAACAACGCAGTAGAAATAACCTAACTTAGATACTACTAACACATTAAGAAACAAGCGCCGTACCGCGATGTCAGAAGAACCTGAATAGTCCACTATTGTAGAATGAATAATTAGCTTGCGCTGCGACTACCGAAAGTGCATGTTGTTTGACAAAATGTTGGACCACGGACGAATCATTTCATTTGAAGCAGCATCTCGTAAAAAGTATGAGACCCTAGTTTTCTGCTTTAGATTCTAGGTTGCAGAGCCTCAGAATGGATGAGCGGTAAAGACGTGCTTGCTAGGCTACTCACATTAGGCGAAATAAAGCTCGCCCAGGTCCTGCTCTGGTCATGAAGCGCGGTTCGTGTTGCGGTTTCATCACGGTCGGGTCCTATATGACCACCACTTCTGACCATGGCAGACCTGACTGAACCGAACATTTGTTATTCCAGACAAACAACCGCGTGTTGCCACAGGTTTTCAACCCCAAGCCTGCGGGGGTGCGAAACATTTTCCTGACCGCAACTCTCCTCCATAGTTCTCCTTCGGGAATTAGGGAGTTGACTTATGCTGATTTACAGTCGATGCTCAGCCTATCACAAAAAGTTGCTACACTCGAAGCGCATTACAGTCACACCTAGTAGCTGGGCGAAACTTATTGAAACGATCAGGCCATTTCGCTTGGTGTTCGCGCACGTTGCCACTGGCATAAGGTGATTGTAGGGTTGCACGGTTGTAACATGTTTAACTTTTCTCAGGTACTGTGGACCAGCGTCCGTTGTTGTTTGTGCATGTTTCCAGTTACCAAGAAAGCCGTTAGTGGCTTCGCGCTGCATTTCGGGTCCCTGTACGAGGAGACGACCACCACTAGCGAATTTAGCGAAAAAATCGCTCTAAATCGGTAAGAAGCTCGCAGCATTTGCTGTAGTGCTTGTCTTGTGTGCCAAGGCCGAAGCGCCCTGCACATCTGCCCGACAAAAATCACATGCCACCAAAATTTTGAATGACTGTACCCCTTGTGACATCACCCGGTAAAACATGCAATTGTGAGTAAATTTCTAATTATGAGGAGCAAATGTTTTGTGATAAGGTGAGCATCGACTGTACTCACAGTTAGAAAATTTGTCACTCGCGAACGTTTTGCCTGTGAGTGACTAAATTGACCATTGTGCTCTTTTCAGGGTACAGTCACCAAGTTGCGGAAGAAAACATCTACGGTTCAAAAACAACAACGGCTGCCTGTCATCAGAATTGTTAACTTGGTTACAAACTTAAACCCCGAGACTCGTTTCACATTCCGATTTCATTTTGCAGTCACATTTTTGCCCGTGGCGACAACGGCGAAGGTGGCGAAACACTTGACACTCGTTTCACGCATATGCTGCCCGCCTACCTGGTGTTCTTGAAATGAGCACCGACTGTACACGTAATTCAGATGGCTTATCACTGTACAAGCCGTCGTTCTGTCAGTAAGAGAACGATGGTAGAGCATCCAGCGCTGAGGGCTGCCCAAAACGAGCAGCTGTACAGTAGTAACCAGGACCAACCAGTGGAGCTCTCACGTAGACTCTCAGCCGTTGTCAAATCTTCAAGACCGCTCTTGATCGCAGACCATCTTACCAACCTAATCGAGCTCCACGCCATGAGACGAGGTCTCCCCACCACCCAAACCCACCCCAGCCACTCTGTTGTGGGGACGTGCGCGTTGGTGCGTTGGGGAGGACATCTGTGGAGGTTGGAGTGCTAGATCGGATAACTACACCACATTATCCTCTACACTGAATTGCGTAGTCACATTCGTTATGTTTTAAACACAATAGAAAGTCCGCAGAAGTATTTAAATACAGTATTATTTAAAGATCTAGCATCAGGGTTTCTAGGCGGCCCTATCTGCAAGCTCTAGCATCAGTATTTAAATAGAGTAGTATTTAAAACCCTATAATCAGGATTCTGAATTTAAAGCCCTAGCATTGGCTAGGGCCTTTCCACAACCCAGCCAATGAGCTGGGTTGTACAGTAGAAACCGTAGAGAATCAGGCCCTAGCCAAACAGGCCCCCACCCCAGCATGTGTCCCGCGTTACACCATTGAATAGGCTGCCGCCGTACTGGCCGTATACAGTCGAATTCCGTTTGAAGAACACCAGGTAGCCTGCAAAAATTGCGTGTAAGCACTTCGCTCTGTTCGCCTTTATCGCCACGGGCATGAAAGTGATTGGAAAATGAAAGTGGAATGTCAATGTCTAAGTTTCGTAACCACGTAAACATTTCCGACAACGTAGGCGCTGACGTATGCGACAGGCAGCGCTTGCGTAGGTGTTGAGTTCCCCAACTTGGTGACTGTACCCCGAATTTTGCACAAGGCTCAATCCTGTCACATCACGGGCAAAAACGTTCGCGAGTGACTAAATTTCTGATTGTAATGAGAAATTTTTTTTGTGATACTGTAGGCTGAGCATCCACTGCGTCGTTCCTCGTGGGCTTTGGTCGGGTTGTTTATCTTGGAAGCGGTTGAGTACGATATTGTACAACTTGAAGCGGTCTTACCTCCACCACTTTGAACTTCACCTCAACAGCAGCCTGAACATTCATGCGTGAACTGTAACGAAGTTTCATAAACAATAAGCTCTGAACCCCATCTCCAGTTCTTCTGGCCATCCTCCTAATGTCCATCAAGTGCGAGCATGTTTGGAACTCTTGACTCCGCCAGCCTGTCAGGTGCATTGGCGGCCATGTGTTTCATGGAAGCCACGACTATCTCTTAGGACGCTTGTTTTGCAGTCTCAGTAAAAGTGCGAAGTCAAGGTCAGTAGCAGAAATTAGACTTGAGCTCTTTAAGAGACTCAATGACGACAGCAAGGACACTTGACGTTGAAGGAACCGGCGAAACCGAAGCATTAGGACCCAGGTATGGTCTTATCCATGCTCTCGCGTTTTGATGTCTTCACCATTGCCGGTCGGCCGCAGCATTTTCCAACCACATTCCGTGAAGTTATGACATCAGGTTATGTCATGCTGTTTTTCCGTTGTTTTCTCTTTTTCGTCGGTTTCTTTAGTTGCTTATTTTATTTTTCCAAAGCGTAGCTGTTGAACAAGGCACAATGAAGTCATTGCTGATTTTTCCCCCCCACCGATTTTCCCTTATTTTTTCATAAGTCTATCATGTATTTTCCTGCGTGTTCCTAATCAACCGGCTGCAAACAGAACTTCCATGGCGGAAGAGAAAATCAAGCCCACGTCGGACACGGCAAACCCTTCAGGCGGCTCGCTTCGCCACAAAATCGGAAACTGGCTTCATTCTGTCTCCATCACCAACCCTTCTGAGCACCCTGAGAATTCGCCTGGACTCTGGCACCGTTTCAAGCACGTCAGTGGGCGTTCGTTCCTCGCGTGGCTCCGCAATCAAGTGACCTTCTATCGAATCCACTTCCTCTCTTTCGTTATAGTCGACCTTATTGCTGCTCTGATCATGGTCGTTACTCCCGCCGGCAGCCTCGGGAAAATCTCCTTTATAGACGCGCTCTTTAAC